CCCTGGGTGGGGGAGGTCCTGAGCCGGGGGTGGGTGGGCAGGGTTGCAAGTCAGGCCCGAAAATAAGTCCTGGGGCCAGGGCCGGCTCACTCACTAGGCGAACTAGGCGATCGCCTAGAGCAGGACGGCCCTTAGGGGCACCAAACTGCACCCGGCCCGTACTCTGGGAGTTTCTTGATTATTTGTGCTTTTCATTCTTCCTAAAATACATTTATTTTTGAAAATTGGGGGGCGCACGGGGCCCCCAGAAGGGATCCTCGCCTAGGGTGCAAAATAAGCTGGAGCCGGCCCTGCCTGGGGCTAACGCTTGCTCAGCTGGCTCCGGGGGCAGTTCTAACCAAAGGCTCTCCAAACTCTTGTTTCTTGCTTGGGAGAGGGGGGACTGTCCGGTCGTCTTCCCTGACAGATTTATTAACCTTGCTTAAAGAGGTAGCGGAGCCGTGGGCCAATGTTCCCTCTAAGCTGTGGAGTCCTCTGAGCAAAAATTTTACATTGTGAGCTACTGGCATTAAAGTCGTGAGTGGGTGATTTGGCCACTGCAGAAATTAGTTTGCTCTGGAGCCAACCCTTCCTGAGCTAAGACAAAAAATGTGTGAGCCGGAGGCTAAAAAACTGTGAGCTAGCTCACACTTACTCAGCTGAGAGGGAACACTGCCGTGGGCTCAGTTCCTCCTTCCTGGCCTGTAGAAAGAAAAAACCTTGTACAATGCCAAGTGGAGGCTTGTGGGTTGCCAGACTCCCTCCAGGAGGAGATGCATTTCCAAATCCTGGCCGGAGCACCTGCAGTGAGCTCAGAGAAGCCAATGTTGGGTCAGGCCAGTGGCCCCTCCAGTCCCACACTCTGTGTCACACAGTGGCCAAAAATACCAGGTGCCCTCAGGAGGTCCACCAGCAGGGCCACAGCATCCCAGGGTACAGAAGTCCATTTGGTGGTGTCTTGGGGTGGGGTGGGGGGGCTCTGTTTCAAGGAGGTGCGGGGGCGGGACGCTAATGGCAGAGTCCCCCAGCCTGTGATGGAACTCCCCGTCCCCCTTGCAGGCAGGTCTTTCCCCTTCCTGTGCCGGCTCATCTCACTCGAGAGGCTGTTTATGAGACATACACACGAGGACACTCAGGAGCACAGTCTAGATTCGTACGAAAGTGGTTTGCATTAATAACCTACTTCACAGAACATGACATTCTACCAGCACATGTAGGCTACGCCAAACGGCTTCGTTTATGAGTTGCTTTTTCTTGCTTTAGTCAGCCTTTATTTTAGGGTCTGATCCCTCTTTCCACAAGCTTTTACTTATATCTAACTGGTACTATAAGGCACTCGCATATTAGTGGTAGGATACTTGGGAACAAAACAAAGCGCAAAAGTCCTCAGTCAGGCAAAGTTAATTTTGATATATGGATATATTGAAACGTCTCAAGGGTATTTGTTTACACGTCGTTGAAATAGGGTTGAATGTATTACATGTAGATGTGACTTCTCTTTCAATAAAAAGATTAGAAAATCAAAAAGAGAGAGAGCGGGGCTGTTTAGAGAGTGCAGATGGGACGGCCCCTTCTCGTCCTTGGGTTTTGCTTTCCAAAGGCCACTCTCGGGAGAGATGCCTTGAGAAAGGAGACTCCGAGGATCGAAGGGGCCTCAATTTTTTTAAAAAAAATCTAAAGAGAGAAAGAATTAGACCGGGGG